CAACTATTTATTTTACTTTTCAATATGTTTTTGTCAACTGGGTTACATACAGTTTTCTACTTTTCCCTATATGTGCCCAAAGCAAAAACAAAATTCTATCGATATGTTAAACATACCAGTGGTATTATTGCACTCCAAAGTCCTACCACACAGGGTAGGGCCCATACCTGCATGAAAGAGGTCAAAGCAAGAGGAGTAGGTAATTACCTTAATGTAAGTTAATGTCAGTTAAAACACTTTTTCCATGCCTGCATACTGAAGAATCCAGACAAGGTTGTCAAAGCCAGGAGATGCCATAGTTGCAAATGTTATTTTGGGTAAAACCTATTTAATAGATTATAAAAGTGAGTCCAAACATTTCTGAAACTGTCTGTATTAAGACTGAAACAAGTTCTGAAGTGCAGCTCCAGTAAAGAGACTATTGCAACATGTTGTAAATGCAGTGATCTGACTGTAACTACTTGATTTGTGTTGATCAGATTAAATAGGTTTGTGATGATAGGTTTCACTGACATCTGGGACAAGACATTGATCACGGAAAGTAAAAGATCTTTTGTGAATTTCCATCCATCCATCCATTATCGTTACCACTTATTCCCTAATGGGCTCGCAGGGTTTTGTGAACGTATTAAATGATAAAATGCCTCCCATCATTGAAGGTCCCACACTCATGTAAACAACGTGGTGGTCATTCATTTAGGATTAAAAGTTAAAAATAACATATTTGAAAAATGTATACAGTTTAAAGACCATGACCTGCTTAATCTTTCTCCACTTAATACATTTTTCTCTCCAATTGGAAACCGCTAAGTGAGGGATTAAACTAGAGTCAAGCCTACTCTTTCCCCAAGACACAGATGAGCCGTTTAAAGGTCACAAAGTTAGGCTCACAGCTGTTTCTGGGTCAGTTGCTTTGGACTAAACCTCTGCTGTCTTACTGTGGCAGGCAGTGATTTTCTAATGGCTCCCCTCCATCTCACATTTTAGCACAAAGCTCTAGTAGATTGGGCATCATAACCATTAGTTTTTAAAGTACTACTTAAGATAAGGTTATAATCCCTATCCATGTCCATTAATTCACAAGAACACTTACAGATCACCTTTTCCTCCGATCTGCTGTACAGAAGTGAGCTCTTTGGTGCACAGCTGTTAAGGATTAACAGTTTTAAGCCAGTTAGACACTTATATAGTCCAATAATCACTAACTGCACACGCACACACAAACACACAAACACACTCACACACTCACACACTCACAGGTTTAGCATTTGTCAGAACAGCTCATAATGTCCTTTCCAGATGCACAGCTGATCATCAATAATCGAATAGATGTAACAGCAACAAGGAACAGAGGCTAAATTCCTACCATGCAAAAATGAAAACATTTTAAAAATCAAAATGAACTTATAGGTGGTTGTTGAAACTTTGCTCTTCGGCTATCGTTACCACAAGAGGGCAGACTTTTGTCAGTGTTTCATGTTTTTATCTTATCAAAGGTAAGAAAAATAAAAGCATAGCTTTGGGAAGTTTAACAAAATACTATATACAAAGAGAAATAAACAGAAGAAAAAATGTCAAACTAAGTATAGGCCTTCATTCCAATAAAGATTAACTTCGACATGCAACAACACTTTCTTTGGTTCCCCTGCCAGGAGAGAGAGAATCTCCTCTCCACCACCACATTTCATTTAAACTTCTTGGCTTATTTTGATCTAGCAAGAATTCAAACATCAAATCACCGCCGTGAAGTCACCTAAAAAAGTTACAGTAATCAGCAAGCGCATGTTAAAGTTCTACAACAGATTTAAGTCCTCTTGAAACAAAAAGCACATTTATTAAAGCTTTGCTAAAATATATTCAAATAACAAATTCACATGATGATCAGCCACAACTTCTGCAAAGACTTAGAGCAGAACTTTTATGATGCAAAAATAACATAAAGTCAAATTATCTGAATTCAGTATTCTTTAGTTTTACAGGGCAATTACTGTATTTGTTCTTTTAGGGGTCTATTCTGAGAAGTCTAGGGCTATGCCTTTTTCATCCCTGTCAGCGTTCCCCTGATGGGTTTTATATGACATTTGTCGATTCACTTAATTTAACAATTTAGGAGTGAGATTCCAAATTTTTTAATCCTTGATAAAAATGATAATTCTAAACTATTTTACTCAAAAATATGCTCTCAGTTCAAACTCGGCCAGTTGAAGGCATGTTCAGGCTGGGTTGAGGTTCAGGCTCTTTTTAGGTTCTGTTCAGGTTCAGCCTCTTTTCAGGCTCTGTTCAGGTTCAGGCTCTTTTTAGGTTCTGTTCAAGTTCAGGCTCTTGTTAGGTTCTGTTCAGGTTCAGGCTCTTTTTAGGTTTTGTTCAGGTTCAGGCTCCGTTCAGGCTCCGTCCAGCAGGGCTTTCTCGCCCCTCCTCCTCGTCCGCTAGGCAGACACACCTTTCCGCTGGTCCTCCAGCGTTTCTTACCTTCTTGTTGCTCCTCTCAGCCTCGTTGTCTGGCGGTGAACTTTCACCCCAGCTGCTTGGGAAATGTCATACAGACAGAGGCCCGTGCTGCAGTAGGGGGGCGTAATAGGAAGGGGGGGGGAAAAATAACATTTTTTACCGCTCTCACTGCATCATTTATCCGCGTCTCTGCCGTGCAAGTGCCACATCCCGCTACCAGCAGCAGCCGCCGCCGCCGCCGCCGAAAACTCACCGCAGTCTCAATGCTCATTTCGCATTAGGGGCTAATAGATATATATATATATATATTTATATATATAAAAAAACCCTGCCAGACATGTGAGTAGCAAACCATTGCTGTCGAGCTCAACTTGACCGTTGGCCGCCGTGCTCCCCCGGTACCGCGGGCTCGCGGCGGCTCGCGGAGCCGTGTTGTGGTGGGCTCGGTGTCGGTGTGCTGCGTTCGCGGTCGCATGCCCGACTTCCAATCTGTGCACGTTGTGGGGGCACATGAAGCCTCGCTGTCGGCTTGTTCAGGGGGTGTGCGTGTGTTATGTGTGTGTGTGTGTGTGTGTGTATTGGGGGGGTGGAGGGGACTCTGAGTTTGGCTAGGGCTAATTGAGCAAAAGGCAGAGATTTTGGGGCTCAGAGGGAGGGAGAGCCCGTCCGTTCCGGAGCGCCCGGTGGATGTGGGGTGTAGCTTAGCCCTTTAGCCTCCGCGCACCGACTCCAGGCAGCTGTGCGGCGGTGCCCAGCCCGGCGTCTCCCCAGTCAGATGTGGAGGCCCCAGGTTAGGGGAACACACACACTGCGGGTTGGCGTGGACGGGGAAATGTGCTTTTTTTCCCGTGCTGCGTGAGGAGGAGCAGGGATCCCCCGGCGGAGGCTGGAGCCAGGGGAGCCCGGTGCTGCATTCTCCCTGCACATCGGGGGTGATTCTTCTCACTGTTTGTGTGAGGAGGCACAGGTGGAAGAAGATGCGTACTGACTTTTCCAGTGATCATTTCCGTACACTTCCTAATCGCAAACGTTGTGTGGTACTGCTCTCAAGCATTAGTTCAGTCACTGGACTACTTTAATGCATGGTATTTGTCATATCTGGGCTTGATCACTCCATCACTTTGGATATCTTTCAGCTCTGAGGATAAAAAGGTTTTGATTGGAAAAAGCTTACTATGCTTTACTGGTATTTTGAGCAAATTCAGCGAAAGGCGTACAAAATAGTGTTTATGATGAAGACTGGAATAGAAAGCAGATGTGGAATTGATGTTTTTTCAGCTGTTACGGTCTAAACCGATGTCAGTACTTTTTCTTGTCTTAATCTACAGTTTGGTACTTTCCCGGTCAATTCTAGTTTTGCAGGGACATTATTGTCTTACATTGTTTGTGATTTTTCTCATTTCATCCACTTTTAACAGAAGAGAGAGTTGGCAGGAGTCTGAATGAGCAGAAGGGATTGTATTAAACCGTTTCAGTATCTTAACATGTTTTTTGTTTTTGTGTTTCTCATGTGATGTTTATACAGTACACTTGCTTGCATGCCCTGCTTACTTATGATTAATAAAAAGTATGCCCTAGCCTGAATGTGCCTTGTGGTTTCAGGGGGCAGAACATCAGTCTTCTCTTGAAGATATCCATCCAGCAAACCAACTGGCTCATGGTGCAGCTGCCCAGCCGAAGATCCTGGGACTGAGACGTGGATCTCTTTATACTAATGGCCTGGACTGAGTAAGAAATTAATAACGTGAATGGTTGGTGTGGCACATTGGTGTTAATCTGTATTTGATGTGTGTGTAAGGCTTTGGGTTGCTGTTTCTGAAGAGCTGACTTTATTCCTGGCAGGTTTCAGCTGGTCTGCTGAAGCTATGGGGAGCTGCTGGAGCTGTCTGTACAGAGACCCCATCCGAGACAACCACCTCACCAAATTTAAGGTCAGCAAGTCCCAAAATAACTTCAAGACAACAACAGCAACAAAAAATAGGGTGGAAGATTTTCGCATTGTTACGCGTCTTGGGGTGTGCATACATGTTCATTATGAATTTGATGTCAGCAATGTGTTTAACAGACAGTTGGAACGGTTGCACGTGGAAATGTTTTAAAGTAATGGGTGGAAAGAAAGAAGAAGTCTGGTGGAAAATCGCACAACTACTCCTGTTCTTTGTCAACTGGGCAGTATCCAGATTATGTCCAGAAACGCCAGTAAGGAAGGATGGGTGTTAGCCCATGTAGGAAAGATAATGAAAAAAGTATTTACGTAATTTGTTTGGGAATTTATACATGAATTATCATAAAAACATTCCAGATGAAGAACCCCCAAAACAAATCTATTGTGTTCATTTGGAACAGCATCCAAAATCAAAACGTTTATTTTCTTCCCTGTTGTTTACTGCCTTGTTTTCTGCTGTAAGACTATTGTCACTAAACCCTTTGCGGCTGTCTCCACAAATCTAAGTTTAAACTCCTCTATAAAAAGCAAAAAATATCAAATGTAATCAAAGTCCAGAGACCCTGCCGCTGTAGCTGGGCCACAGCTCATTTAAAGCAGACGGAGGAAAGGTGGAAACCCGTTATCAGTTCAAAAGCCAACATTTCTTGTGGTAAGGAGGTTATGATGGCGCATGGTTGAAAACGCTCCCCTCTCCTAACATGTTTGTGATTTTATTTGGGTTTCTGCACCTTTTAGGTCATAAATGTGGATGATGAGGGCAATGAGCTGGGCTCTGGGATCATGGAGCTCACGCAGACTGAGCTGATCCTCCACACGCGTAAGAGAGACGCCATCCGGTGGCCGTATCTCTGCCTGCGCCGCTACGGCTATGACTCCAACCTGTTCTCCTTTGAGAGCGGCCGCCGCTGTCAGACCGGACAGGGTAGGCAGCATTTCCTCTGGTTCCCTTCTCCTTCTTATTCTGTCAGAATAGTATGTTATTTTGCTTTTGGATTCGCATAGGGACAAAAACAAAGGAAAAACAGCTACTCTGCCAATAGTTTATTAAATTTAGACATTTTATGGTTCATTGTTAGCATTTGGCAATCTTTTGATGAGTTTAATAGGTATTTACTGGGACACTGCTCATGGACAGGATGCGATTTATCTATTTCTTTTGCTCGCTTGTTTAGGAATCTTTGCATTCAAGTGTTCCCGGGCCGAAGAGATCTTCAATCTGCTCCAGGAGCTGATGCAGTGTAACAGCATCAATGTGGTGGAGGAGTCGATGATGATGAGTCGCAGTGGCCACACACCAGAGATGGACATGTCTCACGCACCACAGACTCCCAACAGTGAGTCACCCGAGCACAAGTTGTTAGTGAGCACAGTTTTTAGGGAAGGGCCCCGTTCACACCGCTGTTTGCGTGCATCTTGCGCCACGACATCAGTTCACACGCTAGTCCTGGACCCTCTTAAGTTAATGATTCAATTGTCATCCGCTTGAAGTCAAGCAGAACAAGTCTGGTTGAACTCTAACCATACCCAGCTTCGGACTGGTGTGACATCATTTTCAGGGTTAGCTCTTTAAGCGAACCTGTGAATTTTAAAGCAAATTCCTCCCTAACCGTTGATGTTTTTACGGCATTTCTGTTATTGTACATATTCATTTTCTTTTATATGGCGAAGTCAATTTTGTTGCAATTTGTTCGAGCCATCATAAAGCTTATTAGTTTACTGGAAAATAAATTTGATTAATAAGCACTTGGATTCCAAAAGGTTTTTTCCCACTACTTTCGGTATTACATACACACTTAATACACACTAAACATAATGGCTTGTCCATCCTTATAACCCTAAAGGGGTGGGTCAGAGCCTCTGGCAAGAGGTGGGTGGGCCCTGGACAGATCCAAAATGAATCTATGATTTTTATGTTCATTATAAGGATTACATTCTTAAACATATAAATGTTTCAGGTTTTGGATGTTTTATTCTCACACACAGTCACACACAGTTGAAGGCATTGTATTGACAGGTAGTTTGTTTTGTTGAGGAGCATTTACCATTCATAGCCAGATATTGCCCTTATGATTCTGTAGAGACAAATGAGGGAGTTTGGCTCTGGAGCAGCTGAAGTGTGTCAACAACACGTGTGTGCGCTGCCCCCAAGTGGTAAAAAAGAGTCCACTGGAAATAAAGTGGACCATTCTCTGTCAGGGAATTCTGTGCTTAACTTGCTAGATAGTAGCATCCATTTTGCCATGCCGATTTTCTCTGCTTGGTGGGATTTGCTGTGGTTTCCTGCTCTCTAAAGTGGCAGTCTTTTGTTTTAGTGGATGGACTTAATTTTTATTTTTTTGTATCACTCTTAATGACAGTCTGGGGACATTTGACAAGCTGACAGAGAAATTACTTGAACAGCCCAACTTGGAAGGGTTTGTTCTCAATATATGGGTTTATTTCAAAGGGTTATCTCCAAAGGACACCGCCAAGATAATAGCGTGTTTTACAGTTGGGTATTTAAAGTTGGGTTTGTTTCAGTAAAACATTTTTCTGTCAAAAGGCTTAGAAACGGCTCCGTTAAGACTGAACGTACTTTAACAGTCATGTGTCTTGAGCTCTGTGTTGCGTCTGACCCCGTCCACTGATTGCTTTAGATGACAGGACCTGTTTAGTGCCACAATCAAGTACACCTGCTGAAAGTTGTACTTTAGAGGCAGGTTTTTAGCTGTTCATTGTTCCCTCTGTCTGCCATGTGTGTTAGGTTTGTCGTGTCCTGTTTACATGTTGATCCTGTTCATCCTCAATATTTGCAGCCCCAGCATTTCCTGTCCAGTCTTTTCCCAATGGATACCCTGGTTATCCAATCAGAGGGGATTCCTCCCAACCCTCGCTTGCCGATGATCATGGACACAGCCTCATGGGTTTGGAAGACCAGGTGAGAACTCCTCATGCCTCGTATGGGTGACCTAGACTGTGCAGGTGCATAACTTGAACTTTTTCCTTGTTAACCTCTCAGACCCACACCTATGTAAATACTGTGAGCATGGAGGGGGACCTCTCCATGCGTCACTGTGTGCACTCTCTTCCTGAGGTGCGTCCCAGCACTTTCCCTGAAGCGACGCGGGGACCCATGCCCGTCGGGGGCCAAGGGAACCCTCAGTCCAACCTGCGGTGTTGTCCCCTCGAGGAGCATAAAGAGCCTCAGGTGTTCTTACAGCCGTCTTCACAGGAGGCCAAGTTCATGCTGGGTCCCACGCCAGTGCAGCGCCATCTGCTGGAGAGGGAGCGGGAGCGGCACGGCCACAACCCCCACAGCCTTCAGCCAGTAGAGGGCGCCACAGGCTCAGAGACGGAAGGAGACGACCCTCCCATGCACCTGTGCAACTCGCATTCCTATCACCATTTCCATCACCACGCGCACCGGCACCCGGGCCACGACCACCCAGACAGCTGCCCGGCGAGCGGCGAGCTCACCTACGAGAACATCAACGGCCTGCGGAGCGGCCGCAAGCAGCGCCTGAGCCCCAGCAGCATGTCCCAGTCCGTGGGCTCCAGCAGCAGCAGCAGCACGGGGGACAGCCACTCGCACGCCCTCTTGCACCCGCACGCCCACGGCCCGTCGTCTCTACCGCCACAGGGCTACGCCTGTGAGAGGGGCCTGGGCGGAGGCCATCGCCGGACAGCTCTTCTCAATTACGAGAACTTGCCCTCTCTGCCGCCGGTGTGGGAGTACAGCGCTCTGCAGCGGGATGACGAGCAGGAAGAAGATGACGACGACGATCAGGACGATGAGGACTACGACGAAGAGGAGGAAGACTTTGACGAGTACGAGTTCTCAGAGGGCCCGGGGACGCCTAACGGGTACCACCAGGACAGCCGGGGGATCCACAGGGATGCCCTCCAGAACTATGTCAACACAGAGCAGGTCCAGCCCTCCCGGCTTCGACACGCGTGCCCTCCGCATCCGCGGCAGTGCCAGCCAGACAGGGGGGGCAGAATATTTAGCTTCGATTTCCGCAGACGATCGCGATCAGGGGTCGGGGGCTGTGAGCACAGTCACATGCCTCCTTCGCGGCAGCTGAACTACATCCAGGTGGACCTGGAGGGAGAACCTCCCTGCCCATCCCTCAGCAGCGGGGGTGTCCAGACACAGCACCAGCGCCTACCACCCAAAAAGTGTGGTCCACAGGCCCCCCGGCGCAGCGAATGCTACGCAGTCATCGACCTGAAGAAGACCGCCGCCATGTCCAACCTGCAGAAAGCGCTGCCCAGGGATGATGGGACTTCCAGAAAGACTCGCCACAACAGCACAGACCTGCCTCTGTAAACGAAGTTCAAACTGAAGAGGAGTGATGAAGACAGATGAAGGCTTATCCTCACCTTAGCACACTGGACCCTTCACTGTCATCCATCCATTCAGTTGTGGAGCTGACTGGCACGGTACAGGTACCCAAGTTAGACACAGAAATCTATTTGTGCTTAGAAAAGGGAATGAGAAAAGTTTTTGTCTTATTTTAGGTTCCGTTGAATGAACACTCAGTGTAAAGCTCTTTTTGATAGTATTAAGTATATTTCTACATATACTTAGCTATGCTCCAGCAGAGAGCTGACATCTCCATTTTCAGTTTTTATTCCCAGACGATCTACACTTACAATCATACTGCTCCCATCGTTCACCCTCATTGCATTGTCTTTATTTGTTTCTTTAACTTAAACACTATGAACGTCAGTGATGCGACCCTCATTTCTGAAGCCTAGTGTCTGGCGTGACGGATGGTTAATGGTTCCTCCCAGGTACTGGCCAGTGTTCATACCTCATATCAAGCACTTAAAGCTCATTTTGTGGCTAGTAGATGAGACCATAATTTGTTACTGTATGCCTGTAGAGCATTTTGCACACAATCCTTTTGAATTGTATAGAATCATATTTTGGGAATTGTTTAATCTAGTCTAAGTTTTGAAAAAAAAAGAAGAAGAAAAGAAAGGAGATCAGCTTAAATGAGTAAAATTGATGGGGATATATTTGGAGAGTGATGGTAAAAGTAGCACACACAAGTTAAAATGAGCTTTGGCTGTCTTATGTCAACATGCAGAAACTTAAAAAGTAGCATATCATGTTCGATCATACCTCCCAAGCATCATCGGGGGCTTGCAGGGAGTGCGGTTCACGCTTGTCACGATGCACTTTTGACCCTGGGCCACCGAGGTGCTCATCGCCGGCACTCCCACCCGTCAGAGCCGCGAATTGTGTCCTTTTACCAAAAACTAAATGAATAATAGAGGAAACTAATGAATAAATCACTTGTAGTGGACGCTCCGAGACAGCAATGTAGATAGGGTTCACTGAAGTGTATTTGAAGGAGACTTTGATAACCTCAATAGTGGCATTAAGCTATAACCTCACATGAAATGTGCTGAATCTGTAATCTGTTAGTTATCAGGTGCGAATGGTCTGTTGTAAACGATAATCAAGAATGACGCACAGTCATGGAGTGACTTTGTTCTCTCTTTATTTTAGATGATTAACTGTCTCGGTCAGATGATTATTTATTTATTTATTTATTTATTTTATGTTTATGTGTTGGCTGTTTTGAAAAGAAAAATCCTTTTAGTCTTTCTCCATATGATGACCAGCGTTTTTAGCAGTCCAGTTGGTAACATGGAGACCAAAGTTTCACCTCAAAGCGTCACTGGACTCTGGTGTATTACTGTTATTACTGTGCTTAAATGTATTTAAAGAAAATAAGAGACTGTATTTATATTTTAAGTGCCAAAACTTTATTGCTAACTGTACGAAGAATAAAAATCAAACGTGCCATTAGGATTTTTGGGAGAAAAAAAAAACAAACCCTAACAGGATAGAAAGGCATAAGATGAGAACAGGTTTGGGGGGGAGAGGGTGCTTAACCTAAATCTTTTAGAAAAAAAGGAAAAAAAAGGAAAAATAGAACATGCTTTTAAAGAATAATATAAACAAAGATGATAAAAACTGCACATTCCACCTCATCCACATCAACTGCCATTTTGGAGAGAGATGTTTGAAGGGTTATCTTGTAGTCCGACAACCACCGTTAGGGTGGTTTAATGCTGCTACCTGTACATACTAACAGTAGCCCAACTAAGCTACAGGTAATTGTCAACATAAAAAATCTTCTGATGTCAAATCTCTTTCCTTATTGTTAACAGAAGTATTATTGTTGTGTTCCACTGAATCCTACCCCTCCCTTATTTTTTCTGAGCAGCGGAAATGTCATGAGCCATTTCAGAGAATTTCTTCATCTGGTCAAAATTTCACTTCATGATTAATTTTTCCGCTAAACTGACTAGCCGGCAGGTGGCGTAATGCAAGCACAGGCACACTACGGAATTTTATTTATCCCACCCCCAGGATATTCACAGGAGCTCGGTCCTCATAGCTGATTTGAAAAAATCCCAGTTATTGTTGATTCACGTGACTCTAGTCAGTTTTTGGCTTCTGTCCCAGATAGACTTAAATATCAAAGCAGGTTAAATGATTCAATATGAAATCCTCTGGAATGTTAGAATTCAATCCCACGTACAGGATTTTCCTATCAATCACTGCAGTATTGGTAAAAGAAAAAGCGTGTACTGCTTACATTTTAGAAGCTCTTACTATCCATTGATAGGCTGTTTTTGCCTCAAACGAGACGGAGTTAAGCTTGCATCTGGTCACTGTGCCAAAATCTCTTTAATTTTACCAGCAGTGATACTTGTTCATCCTGACGGTGTTATGGCTCGTTTTCACAAAAGTATATTTTTATACTAGTCTACCGTCTCCAGTAGTTGTGCCAAACTTGGCGTCTGCCATAACGTCATTTTTGTTAGAACTTTTCTTACTTGGATAAAAAAAAAAAAACGGAAAATGCTTCCTGTATTTCTTCAGAATGTTGCTATGTGTAGTTTAATGATCAGCTAATCATGTGTGAATAGGATCTCACCAACTGGAGCTTTCATGCCAGCACCATTAGCAGTTACTCTCTGGTTTATTGATCATCAAAACAAACTAATTAATTAAGTAATTACTTTTCAACTTTAGGTCTCTGAGGCGCCATTGTGTGATTTCATTCCGCCTGAGTTCAGACCAAGTGCAGCTATTACCTCACTATTCACTCCGGCTGACAGCAACATGTGATATTGATGTTATCTCAAGCTTTTGATTTTCATAACCCTCAGTGTTTATGCTGGAGGCAAGTTTCACACAGGTGTTGAGGAGCTTGTTAGGAGATGATTATGTGTACGATTAATTCTACTGATATAATCTGCAGGGCGAGTAGCCACACGTCAGGATAACAACTCCTGCCATCAACTTTGCAAAACTAAATTTCCTAAAGGGGTTGCTCTGTGTTCACATGTAACCACATTCAGAGAAATGTTCTCATCGTGCCTTGCGTTTTCAAGTCGGAAAAAACACTTTCATTGCAGTTTCTAAGAAAAGCCCATAGTTTAAAAGAAAAAGAGAAATAATTGTGCCTGTTGCAGGTTCACATACTAAAATTGAAAGTTATCTAGTAATTTGAAAATGTGCCAACTCTTCCTCTAATCCTTGCTGCTTTTAAAAATAATACCATCTGCTGACAGAAATCTTAAATAAGCATAACTGTTCGTTCTCTGGCTGGGAGTTAGAAGAAACAATCCACTCTTATTAGAGCAGTGGTCTTCATGCTTTACTGTTATAAAAGAAACCAACTGCATTTAAACTTTCATATATGTTTTATCATGGTCAACAAGATAGCATCATCTTTCCCTTCTTTGCTTTTGCACCATCAAATGACATGAATTCAACTTGGATCCAAGCCACATTCCCCCTCTGGTGAACGGCTCCATGCTTATTGCTCGCACTGGATCCAGGAGCTTCATTTTGGGCCGGGGGGCAAAATGAAATCCCAATAGTATTAAAGTAATGCAAAAACTATGCTGTCTTTGACAAGTCTCTGAGGAAGACATCTCCCTGTGCCTGTGCACACACTGGCAAAAATTCAGATCCGGCATCACCCAGTTCAGATGGTGCCATCCAGTGCTCGACTGGAATGCTTTTTCTATTTACAATTACATTAAATAAAAATAAAAAAACACAATAAGAAGCTGTGATGTAGAGGTAAGAGGTTTTACTCTAAAATTCCTCCTTTGGATAAAACATTTTAGTTAAAAGTTTAATGGTGGTCAGCGTTAAAGGCTCGTACAACAACAGCTGGACTGATTTGGGGTTTTAAATTGTGAGGAATCGTGAGATTTGAATGTGAAGCATTAGGATATCACTTTGAGGCAGTTTGACAAAGAGATGTCGGGAATAGAAACACTTTTCATACATTTAAATTCCCCTGAAAATTGCAAATAACCCATGATCCATAATCTTTGGTAAAAGATCATTTTTCTCAAAATTCGATTTAACTGTACATGTAAAATAGTAGGATAAGGAACTTCCGCTTATTTTTTTATGATAGGAAAACGGCTTTCAACTTTTATGGTATGGTTTACAAATTTTTTGACAAAGTCGCTGAATTCATCCTTTTTGCTAAATAAAACGCACAATCACAGCAGCATTGTTCTCTTCTAACTCTGGCAAAAAAGACGTGGAAACAGTTTCCTAAAATATGGAATTTCCACTTGAACCGAACCCGATGAACTACTATGAATTAAACCTTACAAGGTCTAATGTCCTAAAGGAGCAAATCTTAGCTGGGACGGCTTGCTGTTGATTCTGGGTGCGTCTCTGCGTTAGCCATTTGAATATGCTGAGCTCCACCAGGATCTTGTTGGCTAAAAAAACTCTATTTTTGAGGGCTTTTCCTAATTTAAACTAATCACCATGCAAGAATACAGTGAGATCACAAAGAATAGGCCAGCAGTTAGTCCTCATCAGTTGTTATCGTCATTTCGGAGATAGTTTTTGTATATCTTTTACATACAGAAATATTTTCCATGAAGCATGATCATCATCATTATCTAAATGACATATTGTAAAACCTCAACTTTCTGTCCATGCTGTGAGATGAATCTGTCAATTACAGAAAGTATCAGAAAACTGTAATATGTTATTATCGTGTATTTTGATTAGTTATTTTTCCAATCTTCTTTGTTTTTTTGTGATCGAGGCTGTAAATACCACCAGAGGTTGATGTACATGTACAGGTCTGCGCTGTACATTTTGTGACAGATGTATGTATTAACTTGGAGATGGGAATGAAACTTTTGAATATGATATGAATTTATGAATAGAGTGAGTGCCAAATATGCCTTGGCATGACGAAATCCAGAACCTAAGAGGATCTGGAGGCACTCTTAAGTGTCAAGCGAGACTTGAGAGACTTACTGCTGTTGTAGACTTTAACTACAGCCGAACGATAAATCATGCTCAATATTTTTGCTGTAAGAGGGAAAATTTCTCCAGGTTTTTGTCTCTGTTCTGAAAAGGTTTCTTCAGATATTTGTTGTATGTTTCTATGTCCATCCATGGCTTATAAATGCAGTCAGTGATGGTCTTATCATGCTGCCATTACAGGTTAATATGAAAGTTGATTTACTATGTTTCTTGGACTCTCAGAAAAATACGAAAACAAGTTTAAAAAAGCGATGGAGCTTTGGGTCATTTTCATTCTTGAAACGTTCCACACAGAAGTGTGTTGTTTGTTTGTTTATCTAAACTCTGCTTCATCCCGAAAACACAGCGAGCCTGACATTTGGTGAATTTTACCCTGGATTTTATCAATTATAGAGTGTGGATTTGTCCAAATGTAAAAGTAAATGTAATTATAATATTAAAAGGAACCTATGAAAATACCTTGCATAAAACGGTGTCCTTTTGTTTTCTTTCTGTTGTTAGAGATGCAGCATCAGACCTTAACTTTTTTGCAGCACCACCAACACCTGACAAGTTACCCACTAGATTCCTAAAGTTTGTGCTGAGCATCTTGTTAATAACTAGCTCATATAGTCATCTAATTTCAGACTGGAACATTTCCAAAGGCCTTAGAAAGTGCTCTCATTAAGTCTGGATGCCACAGTACTGATCAGCTGCTGGCCCATATCAAACCTGCCATTCTTCTGGTGTTTTATTTTCATTCCACATTTTTGTTGAAACGCCTTTCATACAGCTCCCCAATATATATACCTTTGCTTTTTATCCTGTATTCGGTTTGGTTTTATAATGCAAATGCATATGGGTGAAGCTGAAAGTTGAACTGAGCAAATTAAATATGAGCAAAGAATGGTATCAACTAAAAATCAGTGACATCTGACTCCTGTCGATGCAGAGGAGCAGGGGCTCTACTTTGAGCTCCTCCCGAATGACCATCGTAGGGAGAGCCCTGCTGGTCTTTCCAGGACCTTTCTTCAGTTACATTTTTTCCCCAGCTTCAATTGTTTTATAGTTTCAAATCAAGCTGTTGTCAATTAGCTCCACGGGGTACCTCCAGACCTGTTTCTTCCCAGTTTAGCTCATTTTGGGTGAGTAAGCCTCAAATGTATTTGGTCAAAACACCAACAACTTAGTCACGAGGGGGGAAAAAAGAAGAAACAAAACAGTTCTCGGAAAAAAAGATGTAAATATTGAGAAGTAGAGGGGAGCCCAAAACAATAAACTGAAGTTAAAAAAAAAACACAGCAAAGTAGTAAAATATCCTGCAGTGCTGTAGCTGACTCATGAGTTCATATATGGAATATCATGGTAATAACCATAAATGGTAAATATGTATTATGAATAACAGTGACTGTACGATGAAGTAAATTACAAAACCATACACTTTGTGCAGTAATAAAAGCTATATCTCTTGATAATCTACTTGACTTTTTTTAAAAACACAGTCCAGTAATCCTAAAAACTGATACAGAAAAGTATTTTCTTCTGAAATCAGATAGCTTCACAATAGAGGAATGGCACAGATTCTTCATTGACATCGGACATATGAGCATCAACATCCAGTCCACATATGCATGAACAGATATGCAGGAAACAAGGGGAAAAAGTTTTAATTCAGATTTAAAATTTGTCCAATTTATTAAAAGAAACTATGACCCTTAAAAGAAATCATGAATGGCCACAAGATGTCCAGAAGATGAATCATCTTAAACACGGACAACCAGATTGCCCGCTAGGAAACATTAACACAGTAGTCCCAACAAGTCCAAACGAACTTGGGAGAGGGTTGGGTCACAGCAAATACCCTGATAATTAGTTCAAAACACGTCAGTTCCTTTTAAAAACGTGTTTGAAATGATCAAAGTGGGGTTGAATTAAGGATGCACCAACATCAATTGAAGACAAAGGCTGGGAAATCGATAAATAAAAGCGGAAAATT